CTTCATTTATTTGAATAGCCCAAAGTTTCGACTGCTTTGGCGATGAAAAGTCACAACCCCCTCCAATATTTCTGAGTATTTTTTAGAAATATCAGTTTATATTCTTGTTTTAATTCACATACATAAAAAATTCTATTGATAAATTAATTGTAGTGAAAATATTAATTATTTCAGAAATTATTCTTTTAAAAGTGTTACTTTCAAATTTAATTATTTCAACGTTTTTGAAATTAATATTGTATCCTCTTTTATTGTGGTATTGAAACTATGTATATTACGTAACACTTAATGACAATAAAATCATTGCATGTTTACTGACAACACTGCAAACAACGTACTTGTTTCTGTCCCGTCTACCCTTAATCTTGACAACTTGGAAAAAATGACTTTACAATTGAACATTGTTTACGCCCTTGTAGATTTTAGATTTATGCTTTGTTATCTATGATTCCATAAAGAAAACTTGAGATTTTTTAGTATTGTTCTTTAAAAAAAAAAAAANGCTGTGGTGATAAAGTTGTGAGATAAAAGAAAAAAATTTCTTTAATCATATATTTTTTGTGAGTTTTAAATCTTTACACCTTAAAAAAGTAGCCCTATTTTTAGGTTATACGAGAGAAACTGTAAATCAACGGCCCTTTAGGGCCAACGATTATTTTATGGCACAAGGAACGCATGGTACCTCTGATGGTACTTCTCAGCATACATATATTTTGTTTACTTTTGACACCTTATTATTTGACCAAATAAACTGTATGGATTCCGAACAGATATGTTTTTAACAAGATTTTCGTTCTGAGGAGTGTCAGGAATTGATATAAAATTTTTAACCGATAACGTATCACATTACATGTTAACACTTTATGGTGCTCTATTTAGTGAGTCTCGAGGAAAGCTGCCATGGGGGGGGGCGCTAGTATGACATATATAATGCACTTTTTGTTCGCTAATTCACGCTTTTTACATTATTTTCTTTATTATTTTTCTTCCCCTTTCTCTTCTTTTTTCCTCTCTTCTAAACCGATGGCTTTACCCACATGTATCACTAAATAACATTTTAAACACTTCATTCAAAGCTATGAAATGTCTTACTAGAGCATCCGTGACTGTGATATCCGAAGTGTCCAGTATAGCTATTGTTGCAGAATATTTAATAAACGTATTAGATAAACATTTAATATAAATAAATATTGTACAGTTAATATCTGTTTCTGTTTGGATGTTGTAGTTCTTAACAGTCAGTACCGTAGTAGTTTATAATCTCAAAGCTAAAGAAGATCAATACAAAGGATGGCAAGTAAGTTACAGTGGTACTATATGATAAATTCAAGCAATTTTGCATGGTTGTACAACTCAGGTTCTTATTAAGAAAAACGTCTCTTCTAATGATAGTTTATTTAGATCAGTCAGTTGATTTTTTTTGTTTAAAATATGATTTCTTGTAGTGGTTTTTGTTATATCATGTATTTGTCATGAAATATACTATTGTTAGTAAATCACACAGTTTCCCACACATTTTATTTTTATTGCATTTAATTATTATATATCCAAGTAATGTAAGTTATGAATAAAACTTGAGTCTTTAAATAAGTTTTACGAACTAATATTTTTAATTTTTTCGTTAAAACACTTATTTGTTAGGTCCATACTGACTGTTTTTGCTGTTAGTAATCGAAGTCAGTCTACTAGTTTGTTAAAATCAAAATAATAAACGTTGTCTATGTGCGTTTTCAGCTAAAAAATTTTGTACGAAGACATTAAACTGCTCTTCTTCTCCTTATAGTTCGCATTCCTTTAAATTAAGACTAAATAATAGGTTGATATTAGTCTTAAATTTCTTACCGCAAAATCTGTACATAAAGCTTTCAAGATTTTATGTATTTATCTTTATTATCTTGAATGACAAGCCACTTTATTTGGATTCTTGTTTGATAAATGAAATAATATTTATATCGTAACAGCACGAATAGGAAGTGGTGACATCGTAAAACACTAAGTAAAAACTACACATCGAGAATGTGGGAGTGTACACAGCATACTTCAAAAATTTTCATGGGAGTGTCACCCTTTTTCTGAAGTCTGAATGTACGAATAGTTCATATCCCAAACCTTAATGTATATTTTCTAAAAATATGTAGTTAGTTTGCGTATTAGTTTTTTCTACTTATTTACGTGCTTTCTTGACCATACAAAATACGGATGTTGAAACAGATTTCTTTAAGATTTAAGACTAATTTTTCGTACATTTAGAGTCAAGATGTATGGTAGTGCTGACATATTCTACATTTATGCAATTCTCATTTGTTTTACAAAGTCACATTTTTTATCTGTTTTAAAAATATTTACTTTTTTTGTACAACTTACTTTATCACCTATTAGTTATTGATGAGACCGACTAATTTGACTGTGTTGATTTTCAAAGTGCTTCACAATTTGACTGGAATAATACCACACAAACATATTTTAACCATCTCGAAGCTTACATACTTCATGCCTTATTTCCCTTAGTACCCCCTAGATATCAAACTATTAAAGTTCCATTTAAAAAAGTTTATTTTTCGCCCGCAAGTTTTACTTTCCATCCTAAATAAGAAGTATACCATTTCTTATCTCGTGCGTTTTTAAAAGGCTAGTGTGCCCTTGGTTTAAAAAGTAGGATTCGCCACATAAGTGTCATTATCTTTAGGGTTATTTTTCAGCCCGAGAAACTTGTTGTATGCTTCTGCCTGAGGTGAGAATGACATTTTTGTATCGAGGGTGAAAAGTGCAACTTTGCACCTGTGGGCACACTTTCCGCCCACTAATTCGCAGGTCCCTCAAGACTACCATTTCGTCCCTTGGGTGCATTGCTTCGTGCCCTAAGGCAAACTTTCCGCCCCCTAATTACTTTTCGCCCACGCGCGAGAAGAAATGTTCTAGCCCTGCCAGGCCCATAGTTCGTTTCCGCCCTTGGGTGGATAGTAATTGGTGGGCAAAAAGTGTGCCTACGGGCGCAAAGTTGCGCTTTTCCCCTTGATACTAAAAAATTCATTCTCACCTCGGGCACAAACTTACAACAACCGTGCCTTTTGGGCACGCAAGTTGTACTTTCTGCCCTAGGTAAAAAATGTACTATCTCGTTTGTTGTATAGTGTATAAAATTGTCATTAAGTAAGCAGCGTTTATAACAAAGGTTACTTGGTTAATTTTTGTCAAGAAGTCATAAATACATATACGACTTAATTTAAACAACTTGATTAAAATAGGCTCAGTGTACAAAAATAAATTAAGACGGGGCTATGTATGTAAGTAAACTGGGGTAAGAACAAAAAATTCTTCACGAACTACTAAAATTAGACGAATCTATCAAAATAGATTTGTGTATTTTTATGCTGTCTACTAACAAGGGAACGTCGTAATAATGAAGATTTTTAGGATGCAGTCATGTATTGTATTTCATGTGTTGGTTGTTAACTACGAAATGTTCACTACAAAATTTATGCATATCGGCCTCACATAGTTTACCATTAACATAAAAGTGACAAGATTTGCATCTTCACTTTGTATCAAAATGTACATCTCTTATCATTTCAAAGTTGTTTGCGTATTTCTGAACAATCTCTGGACAGATGATATTGACACTTAATAGCCTAAAAATTTTTGGAACTGGAGAGTCAGAGAAAAAGTTGGGCAATAGTTTTAACTCTTTAGTTACTGATTTGCTGAGCTCTAAGAATATTATGCACTTATTGTAATGAAAATAATCAGAAGTGGCGTTGGCTCAGTCGTGAGCGCGCTTGGTACTGAAAATACTTAGTTCTAGAGGTCTTAAGTTCGATTACGGGTAAATACAGACTTTTTCAAAAAACTGTTTTTATCAGAAAAATTTTTTTTTAGCCTTGCCTGTTTTAAGGCGAGTTTTTCCGTGGAATTTTTCTTTAGTATGCTTCCACGATTTTCTTCTTGCCGCAGGTCTCTGGACCTAATTGGATGAGAAACAGTGTTAGGACCTTGAGGAAGAGGTTGGTGGATCCCCTGTCAGGCATGGGCAGGAAGCACTGGCTGAAGTGGCTTCTAAACATGGGGCTTCTTCGGGGGTGCTTAGTAGCTTAGATTCAATGTTTTGGCAGAGAACACTAGATTGACTAGCGAGAAGTGGTCACCTGATAAATGTAGTTGTCTCTGGAAAAAGGCTTTGCAGTGATGAGTAGACCCGTTGAACCATTAGTTCAGAGAGTACCAGATAAACTGGCAAAGTGCGACTACATGGTAATGGGTATCGTCATTCCTAGACATTATACCACTCTTTTAAAATTTGTTCCATCCAAAATTTAAAGTATTTACTGTAATAAATTTCGAAAAAAAAAGTCCACAAAGATTTAAAAACGTTTAATAACATTATTCAAGAAATTTTTTTTGCTCTGCCAAGTACTGGTAAGATCTTGATAAATATTTTTCAGTTGTATCACATAAAACAATTAGGATGACACAGTTAGTAACCTTCTCTTTTGCGTTTGACTACATTTGAATTTTTTACCTTGTCAATCAGTGAATTACTATTTCAATAAACAGTTTTATAATCAGTTTCAAAAGAACAACACAGAGAGAAAAATCATGGAGCAAACGCATAGCGGCGATGGAAATGCCCCCATATTTGACCCTTCGCGATTGGTTCACGACGTCTGTGCTTTCAATGCATGTGAGTCAATAGCCCTTAAGCATAAGCGTTAGCCATAGAGCAAACGCAAGAAGGCTGCTGGCTTTATTCCATCGTACCTATGCATTTTCAGGAGAGAGGGGATACCGTCTTATAGCAGTCAGTATAAATACTTATACACTACTAGCTTACTACACACTATAACTCACATGCGTTAAAAGCGTAGACGTCATAAGCCGATCGCGTAGGGTCAAAAAACAGGGGGCATTTCCAGCGTCGCTATGCGTCTGCTCCATGATTTTTCCCTCCGTGTACCAATGACCAAATGGTATTATTTTGCTTCATATTATTTAATCTTTTGCAGGATCCGTATTCATACTTTTCTGATGTGTGGCAAGAAAATAAACCGCAAAAGTCACACAATATTTGTAACTCACGACGCTCATACACACCCGAAAGTGTACATTCAAAAAGTAGCAGCTACAGTAATTATAATAGTAAATACAAGTCTGAAAATCAGTTGTCTCATAAAGATGCTCAGTTAGAGGTAAGAATAACGCACTTTAATATGTTATACCAGATTTAAAATAATTTTCATACAAATATTAAATTTATGACAAATTTTTATTTTTCAAACAGAGTGACAGTCATGGTAAAATTTTTTATTATGATCATTTTCCTCACCATTGCCATCATTGATATAATTACCGCAATTGATATCATTTACATTGTTACAATCTTTAGTATCATTATTTCGTCATCAAAAAATTTATAACTAAGATCTAAATAATGACTTGCACATTATTGCTGTGCAGGCTGTACTTTTTCATCCAGTTTCAGTCTGACTGTCAAATTTCATAAGTAATATATTGTTTCTTTTAGTTAATAAGAACGTCATACTTGCTAATTGAGACCATTTTGAAAAGAAACAAGTTTGATGTTTTTTTTTTTACTAAAATTTTATCTGTTGGGAGGAAGTGAAAACTAGGAGATATAATTCTATACCCTCCAAGCCGATGCAATCTTATTACGTTATGTTAGTTTTATGAATAACCATTCGTAAGTTGTTAGTCAAATAAATTTTCGTTAGAACTGGAGTTCCTGAAAATTCGAGAAAATAAAAGAATTCAGTAATCTTCAGGAATTTTTTTACATCATGAAAATTACGAAAACTCCGAAAATGAACTTTAAGGTAAAGTACCCAGTAGTTAGACAGAAATAAAAATGGCACCAGTAGTTGGGCAGTCCAATATAATTAACATTTTCGAATAGAAGACGTTTTCAAACAGGAAAAAAAATTTATTTATAATCCATCAATGCATAATAATGCCTGATTAAAAAATTTATTTTTGAAATTCTTCGTTTTTACGTAAAAAAATTTGTTTTAAATGCGAAGCATGTAAGATTGCTGTTCAAAAATAGATCCCTTTAATAACATAGGAGTGTTCCTATACTCAGTACTTGGACACGGAAAAAATCGCTAAAAATTATAATTTATAGTTGGGCATAGAACGTTCAATTTATTTTCTAACTGAATTTACCTTGCAAAATGCAAATTATTATAATTTTTATTGATTTTATCAGAGCTCAACACATCGAAAAATATAAATAACTCTGTCCAAGAATAGCTTCCATTCGATAACATAAGATTTTTTCTATACCTGTTACTTGGACAGTAAAAAATACTTAAAATTATTGATTATTACTGAATATAACATGTTAATGTTACTGTTGAAAACTTAATAAAGTTTAATGATGACCAGAAACTATACCATGTAGTGAAAAAGATTATAATCATTGAGTGGTTGAGAGATGTAAAAAAGCATTTTGAAATTAGGTCTACCCTAACCTCCTTTCCATTTCATTGATATGGGGTATCCAACTACTGGTCCCAAGTCTCATGTTGGTCCTAGTACCTGGACACTGGTGTCCAGATATTGGGTCTTGATGATTTTTCTTTGGTATTAATTTTTTCTTTGTTTATTAACCTGATATATTTTTTTTCTAATAAATAAAAAAAATTTTAAAAAGTTAATGCAATGTTTTTTCAAACATCGCTTTTTTTAGTTTTTTATAAATCAGCAAAGAAAATTTCGACTGTCAAAAGTGTCCAACTACTGGGTACTTTACCTTA